ATCATACCAAATGTTCTATCATTTATACAACTTATTTACTTTCCTCTTTAAACTTCGAATTTAGATCTTGTAAATACATCTGCATAATCTACTATTTTTAATTATCTTGAATAAACTGTCACAATAGATCCAACATATAAATCCTTTAATTACACTGATGGATATTCACATCTTTTCAAAAATATTCTTTTATTTTTCAAATCAAACTAAATTCCTTTACAAATCTTACCATCTCGATAGTCTTGTCTGACATGAAATATGTTAAGTTATAACTCCTTATTAAAGATGCACTTGTATCAAACCATTCTACTATGAATACATATCTTTCATCATTCACTGCCATCTGTTAATAATAATAATCAAAATATAATCAATAACCAGATTTTTATTTCCAATATTAAACTTGCTATTCTAATTGCTTTTTCTCAACTTCAGCCTTCATCAATCAATTTTTTCATCCCTCTAATAGTCTCATTATTACTAACTAATAAAGATTACCAAACACTTTTATTTTTATTTTTATATCCTATTACATTATAATTAACATTATTGCCTTATTTTTACTATATTTATCCCTTATTTGATGATTCATTTTATACACCATATTCTCTTTTAATTACTATCTTTGTTCTTCATATGAATTCAACTGTAATTATAATTTTGAATTTATTCTCTTAAATCTCAACTAAATCGGAGAATATACGAAATGATAAAAAATCTCATTTTGTTAATTTCCTTAATTACTGTTCTTTTTTTGTTTAATTAGTTTTTAGTAATGTAAACATTTTTATTTTAGAATGGCCCCCAATCTCTTGTGAATTTCATAGTCAAATTCATTCTCTATTAGAACTATCATACTTGTTAATTTCATGTTTATGGATGTACAAAAATACTGTATAAATTAAGTATCTATTAAGATTTGCTTATTGAACTGTTTTTTGTATACATTTATTTTTTAAATGAATGATAAGTTCCTTTAATTAAGAAATAATTATTGCTATCAATACAACAAGAGAATTATTAAAAATTATGAATAACCCTAGTATTCTTAAAGATTGAAAACTGAAACTCCCCCCATACTCAAATAAAATAAGTATACATACCACTCGCCAAGGAAATTTATTTAAGCAACTTAAGTTTCATTTTTTGATCATTTTAAAAAGTTTCCAACCCCTAAACTGACTGCTTATTAGACATACTTACAAACACTTCTAGAAAATAAAATCGAAATTTAGGCCAAATAGAAATATCAGCCATCTTTCACAATGCATAATATTCACGGTCAGAAAATTAGCACATATAAATAAATAAAGGATCCCATAAAAAACTAATCTAAATATCACCATCAAAATAAATCTGAAATAAAAATGCCGTAAAAAATAAAGCCTCTTAATAAATCATCATTCAATTCACCTCGAAAACTTTAAGAATCATAAAAATAAATATCAATAAACAAATTTCATAAGATTAACGATAATATTAATATGTGTAGAGCATCTAATGGAGTCTAAGTTTTAAAAAATGATAAAATTGAAAATTATGAAGATAATTTTGATGATATTGAACCTTGGAACACTTCTGAACAAAAATGATAGTGATTTATTAATTTTAATAATTTCATATTTTTTTTTCAATTTGATAGTTTTCTAAGTTATGAAATGATGATGATCTAGAGTTCTAATGTTGAGAGTATCTATATTATAGTATTGGGCCGTTTGAAGATTCATAATTTTATATGACCCTAAAATCTTATTTATTTAATACTTAACATATTATTAACTAGGTTACTACATTTATAATTATTGATAAATAACAGGATTCTAATATTGAATTTGATTAATTTATGGATTAGGTTAAGATTTTTTAGTTATAATTTTTACTGGAGTTGTATTTATCTTTGATTACTAAGTAATAACCTACTATTCTTTAAGCTAAGCATAATTTATTGGTTGTTTTTATAGATGATATTAAAATTAAAGATTTTCATTATTGATATTAGAGTTTTTAAGTATTTCTTAACTTCTTTTTTAAATATCAAATTCATCTATAATTTAGGTTTTATTTATCTAAGTATAAACATTCTAAAGAGGTTAAGGATTTATATTCTTAAAATTTTAATCAAGCAATGCTGATCCATTTTAATGATTGAATGATTAACTTCTCATTTTAAATGGAACTTTATTTTATTATTCTATTAATTTCTGATTATTAGTTCCAAAATTAGTCTATACTTTTTTTTAGATTTATTTATTTTCATCTTAAATTATTCCTATTTTTTTTAAATTCAATTTAGGTATTTTTGGATCCTTTTCAATAGGTATTTCAGGTGGAATTAATTTCTACAAATAATTAAGTCTTTAATTAATAGTTCTGAGTGCATTTTTAATTGATTCACAATCAAGATCTGGTCTTAAATGATTATATATAATTACTCTTAACGAATTTACATTAAATTTATAATAAAATAAGAGTGATGATTAAATAACACAAATAAAATAAATGATCTTTAGAAATTTGAAAAATCCATTACTTTCTAAAACCTTTAGGTCTTAAATACCCAGTTTTGGAGTGTTGAATCATGAAAAGTTTCAAAAGAAAGTTGAGGGAAAAGGGAAAGTTACCAAATTTCTTTATGAATTTTGGGAGATTCTTTATTAGGTATGAGGTTAATGTTTTATTTTAGGGTACTTGGGATTAATGCGTAGATGCTAAAATGATGATTAAGTATACTTTCTAACGAAAGAAAACAGCTTTTATGCTTTCTGAAATCATAAGAATTAGAAAAGACTTAGTAAAATTCATTCCTTTCTCTTTTTTTCTTATAGTCCCTGGAGCAGAATTACTATTACCTCCATATCTGTATTTGTTTCCTAATGCATTTCCTACTACTTATTTATTTGATGATCAACTGGCCAAGAGATATATTACAAGAGATAGAAAATAAATGAATTCATATAGATATCTGTTTTAATTGATGAAACAACGCATTCCATCAATTGAAAACATTAGAAATAATCAAGATTACAATGCTAAAGGTTTATAAGAACTTGTTTTAAAGCATTCACATCTATTTATGACGAAATTAGATTACAAAGAGTTCAATTCAGAACAATTAGTGCACGTATATAAAATTATTTGAGAGTTTAGTTATGTAAATTTTTAGGAATGGAGTTTTTTAGAGGAACCTATACCATTATGAAACTCACTAAACTGTTTGTTAATATTCCTGTTTATTTCACTAATCTCTTCTATTGGATAATCAGAAACCCAGAAAGAAGACCTTTGAATAGCGTTTTAAAAAATTGGAATTCTCTCCTTCCTTTCCCAATTGAAGATTTAAAAAAGGCTCTACTTTTATGGTAAATCAAATCTCACCTTAGAAAAGTATTAATCAATATTTAAATATTAAGTTGGAAAAATAAGACAAAGCATTTAGATTAAATGGTTTTGGAGATAACAAATATGAAAGTATCAGATAATTTGCAAGAGAAAGAGGTATCCCAGCATTAGTAATGTAGAAGGAAAATCCTGAATAAGACTTTGAATAGTAATTTAATCCGTTATTATTATAGTTCTAAAAAGTAATTTAAAAGAGACTACATTGATTTCATAAATAAAGAGCAAGTATTTGAAAATCTTAAAATTTGGTACGCTGTTCTCTACTATGAGAGATATCATAATAGAATTGTGGAAGAATATGAAGAAAGAGTCAGAAAATATTTACTACATTGATATGTTTCCATTAAAATTATAAATAATGATTATTATTCTAATTAAATTATTTGATACATCAAACTCTATCTAATCCAATTAAAAACAATTACTCATTTTTTAAAAGTTTTTTATTTTCTTTTAAGGTTTTTCAAACATTATTTTTATTTATAATAGACAGTTTGTTTATGATTGCCAAAACCAAAGTTTTAAACAGAAATAGATCATGAAATTTTAAGATTTTAAAAATTTAAGATATTAAATATTAAATTATGTTGATTTATTTATACGTTTTTAAGTTATTTAAAAAATTACACTGATTTTATTAAAATGTTGATAATTTAAATAAATGAGAGTAATTCTAAAGAATGAATAATCAAAGATAAATTCTTTAAGTATTTTAAATGAGATTAACATGAATAAAAAAGTGATTTTAGTAAATAATTAAAGCAAGATATATATTAAATTTATTTTTAATTAATAAATGAATTAAGAAGACATATTTCTAAAGAAATAATGGTTTATAAAGTCTTGTGAAGGAAAGATAGAATAATATTATGATATAAATCTTAAAAAAGTATTGAATATTTTAATAGTATTAAGGTGATTGGATCTGGTACATATGGAAGTGTTGTTAAAGCTGCATTAAAAGGCACAAAATAATAACGTGCTGTTAAAGTAATTCCAAAATCTAAAGTCAAAAATCCAGAAAGATTTAAGAGAGAAATTGATATTTTAAGAGCTTTAGATCATCCAAATATAATTAAATTATACGAAACATTTGAAGATTAAAGAAATGTATATTTAGTAATGGAGTAAACTTAAGATTAATTTTAAATAGGCTTTGTGAAGGAGGTGAATTATTTGATAGAATCATGGATAAAGGATACTTTAATGAAGCAGAAGCACATATAATATTTCTTTAGATAATGCAAGTACATTTATATTCTTAAATTAAGGCATTAAATTATTGTCATTCAAATGGAATTTGTCATAGAGATTTGAAACCAGAAAACTTTTTATTTTTGACAAAAGCAGAAGATTCTCCTCTTAAAGTAATAGATTTTGGATTAAGTATTCTATTTGAAGAAGGGCCTTAGAAACCTGGTACTTAAAAAGTTTCAATGAAAACTAAAGCTGGAACTCCTTATTATATATCTCCTGAAGTTTTGAAAGGGAATTATGATGAATTATGTGATATATGGTCAGCTGGAGTAATATTATATATTTTACTATCTGGTGTTCCTCCTTTTTATGGAGATACAGACCCTGAAATTTTAGAAGCTGTTTAAAAAGGCTAATATACAACTGATATTCCAGAATTCAAATTCGTTAGTGATTCAGCTAAAGATTTAATTGCAAATATGATCATTTCTCCAGATAAAAGATATAAAGCACAACAAGTTTTATAACATAAATGGATGAAGGAGAAGAATAAACCAAATAAAGAACTTAAATTAAATTATGGTGCATTAAAGAATTTTGTAGGGAGCAATAAATTAAAAAAAGTTGCTCTTACTTTTATTGCCTCATAATTAAATGAATAAGAGATAACACATTTAGGAAAGTATTTAATTTATATAATTAGATTATTTAAATAATTAGATAAGAATGGAGATGGCGTTTTGACAATTGAAGAAATTAGAGAAGGATTAATAGGAATGAGTGATGATTAATCAAAAGAATTAGCAAATGTTATTAAAAGTATTGATACTGATGGAAATGGTAACATTAATTACACCGGTATTTATAAATTATATTCAAATAGAATTTTTAGCTGCAACCATGGAGAAATAATTGTACATGAAAGAAGAAAAATTATATTAGGCATTTAAAATGTTAGATCTAGATGGAAGTGGTAAAATAGATAAAAAAGAATTATAATAAGTTCTTGGAAGTATTAATATTAATATGATAATAGAATCGGATAAAATAATTGATGAAAAATATTGGGATGATATGATTAAAGAAGCTGATAAGAATGGAGATGGTGAAGTAAATTTATTTCTAGTTTAATAGATTGACTATAATGAATTTATTGAAATGATGGATAGATTTAGTATAATGAATTGAAATAGTATAAATTAAATACAATTTATTGAGAAATATTAATATGACCTCTCATTTTATTAAAATTATTAATTAACTTATAAACTATAAATGGATAATTAATAAACTAATTAATAAGAGATATATAATACTCAAGTTGAATAAGTAGAAGTTTAATAATAATAAGAATAAATGGAATAAATTTAAAAAGAAAAAGAAAAATGTTTAGAATTAAAAAATTAAGCAGGGTTATTGTTTAGCCAATAAAAGTTTGAAGAAGCTGCTGATATTTATAATGAAGCAATTGATTATTGTCCTCTAGAAGATTCAAATATGCTATGTATTTTAAATTCTAATATTGCAATTTGTTTAATGAAGCAATCTGATTATGAAAGTGCCTTAGAACATTGTACTAAATCACTTGAATTTAATCCTGATTTTATTAAAGCTTTGCTCAATCGAGCAGAATGCTATGAAAGAACAGAAAAATTGGAAGAAGCTTTGGAAGGTATTTCTATAAAAGAATATTCTAGATTATAAGAAATTAAAGGATTTATAACCCAAAGATAATGTAATTATGAAAAAGTACATTGATTTAGATTTAAAAGTTTAATAATTATAGGAAAAAAGAAAGAATGAGGCTTTGAAAGGGTTAAAAGATTTAGGTAATACATTGTTAGGGAAAATTGGATTGAGTTTGGATAATTTTAAATTACAACAAAATGAAAATGGATCATATAATATATAATATTAATAATGACTCAAACAATTTATTTTTTGATATGTTTTGATTAATCCAATTTTATAGGAACCCCTGATAATATTTACATTAAAACACTTTAGTCTTAAAATTATTCTGCAAACTCATTCTTTTCAATATTTATCCAAACCTTACCAACACTTGTTAAATCAACTCTATGATAACTAAAATAGGATTCGCCAAGATTGGCAAATTCACTAACATGAACTGTTTATATTCTTGGAGTCCAAAATGCATTAAAATATTTGATTTCTACAAAATCTCCTGTTTTCAATAGTCTTAATTCATGAATTGTTCTTTTTGAAAATATTTTTAAGAACATTAAACCTGCAAAACCTACTACTGTACATAATGTATATGAAGCACAATTCCAACCTCCAAATACTTATTTTGAATAGTATAATTACTTGGTTAAATATATTCCTATGATGCTAGAATACAATTCAATGCTGTGAAAAAACTCAATCCTCTTAAGGCCCATTGTAATTAGTTCTAATTCTAAATTTTATTTATACTTCTCCATTGTGTAATCTATAAATAAGACTTTTATTTGTTTTATCAAAGATTAATTTCTCTGCTTCAACTATTCTAAAGTTCTATTTAGCAAAATTAAAAACAATTTTTTAAAAAATCATTTAATTTTTATTATATTCACTTTTAAATTTTTATAACACGAAGCTTTTAGTTATTTTACTAAATTGTATTAAAAAATTTATTATTGTTCTTTCTATTCAATAATTAAGCATTTTTCAGCATTTCTACTTAGTTTAAACTTGGATTATTATATAGTATCTATTTGTTTATTAGATTTCTAAACATATAGTTTTTTTTAATTTTTTCCTAAAAATTTTTACTTCAAAAATTGATCATTTTGAGATGCCTATCATACTTTTTATTATTTTCATCAATCAATTTAAAAAATAACTTTACTAGCTATAACTAGCTTCTTAAAGCTAAATTGCAGTTGTTTATTTTTCAAATGGTGTTAAAGTAATTTTTATTTATATTCTTAAGTATCAATTATTTTTTATTAATCTTTAATCAACTAAATGCTGAGAATTTTTTTCAATCAAAAAGTTATAAAAAATATACTCTTTAATATAAATTATATTAAAAGAAAGTCAAAATTAAAGTACCTTTTTTAAGTGTTTTTTGGATAATAATTGGCATTAGAATATTTTTCAAAGTCAGAATGTATATTTATATGAATTCTAATTTTGATTCCATGATCAAATAAAATGGCTTTTCTAAATAATCTCTTTCCAATTTTAAATACGTAGTTAGTTTGATAATAAGACGAAATTTACTTAATGAATACTCTTAAAACTTAAAACTGGATAAATAATATGGTTTAGTATTGATTTAAAAAAAATTTCCATTTACCACCTTAACAGCTCTATCATTTATATTTTTAATTATAGGAACATTAAACATAATAAGTTCTTCAAATTCTTATGATTACCTATATTACTTTTAAATAAAGTATTTAGTTTATTTTTTTTTTCTATTGTCTGATTATGATGTATTAAAAGTTTGTATTGTAGAAAACTTATAAAATACTTCCTATTATACTCCATGATTTCTTTTAAGATAAATTTGCCAAAAGTAAAAATATAATTTTGGGTTAGAAATTAGATTTTAATTGGTTCTTAATATCTTTTTTGAATATTTTTTGTTTTATTCTAACATGTATTATATTGATTATATTTTATAATTAACTTATTCTAGTTATTATTAAAATATCTAAATTAATTTTATTTCAAAATTTCTCATAGTAAGTAAAATTATTTAAAATGATTTAAGTTTAATATAATCCATGTCAATTTTGGAAAAATTAAAATCACAAAATCTACTGAAAAATTTTATCAAAAAATTTCTTTATTACATAAAGAAATATATCTAATAACTTCTGTGATGTATCGCATAACCTATTCATAGAAATGTTTAAATGAAAAAAAATAATAAGATTAAATATCAATAATTTCTTAATCATGGATGACCTTAAAAAAAAGAATCTATATTTTGATTAATAAATAAATGAAATCAAAAGCATGTTTAACCTTTAATGTAAAAAAATTATACCATCTTAATTTCTTAAAGTATGATTTTTAAAAGATTTTATTTTGAGATAAAATACTATTAAGAGTAATTATAATAATTTTTAACAATTATGTCTCTAAATTAGATTTTCATATAATTTTAAAACAAATTTAAACCCTATAATATACATATTTTTATCTAATAAAAATATGCATAATCATTTTTTTAGATTAATTTAATTAATTAACTTCTCGAAAATTCTGTTTCTGTACACGTTTTACCCAACAAGTTTAAATTGTATTTTATTATAAATAAAATAAATTTTCTAATAATTATTAGTTATTATTGCAGGAACAGTAATATCCATTAATTAAAATTATTAAAAAATATTTTTTCATCATTATAATTCACGAATGAAGACTTTAAAATTAAATCTTTATAATTTTGCATCAGATTATTAAAATATTATGAAAATAAATTCCACATATTCTGAGTAATGTAAGAATGATTCAACCTTAAAAAATACTAAAATGGAAGATCATAAACAAGATTAAAATAATCGAGTGTATAAATATGAAGAGGAATATTTTAAAAAGAAAGAAAAAAGAAATCGTAAATTTTTTTTGAAGAGATCTATTTCTTTATTATAGATTTGTAAATAAAGCGGCAAGATAGAATTTTAAATTGGGTCAGATTTCCTACACATTGAGATTATGTAAGGAGGTCATTTTCCTCTTAATTAATATAATTTAAAAGATATTCGCTCTGAGGTTTATCAAAATGATTCAGAGTTTTAATCATCTAATATAAATTGTAGCTTAGAATGTGCTTCTAAATGTATTTTAAAGAAATATCGAAAACAGCAATAAGAACAAAATTACAAATCTTTCTCATAAATTTAATAATAATTCAAAGAAATAAATACATTCTGTTCGAATATTAAGAAGAAAAATAGTAAAAATTGTTTGATTGATTCTCAAAAATTGGATGCTGTTTTGATCAACTAAAATAATTAGATTGATTAAGCTATTCAAGAAGCCAAAATAATTTTAATTGAATAGCATTAAGCTATAAAAAACATTCTATAATGTTGAATATTTAATTTAGCATTTTATATTTAATATTTCTTATTTTTATTTTTTATTTTCTAAAAATTCCAATTAAGCAAGGAATTATAATCTAAAATTTTTTTTAAATTTCTAATAAACCCTTAGAATTTGAAAAAAACTATAATTGGAACTTATTCTTATAATTTCATTTATTTTCTTTGGTTTTTTTTTATCAATCTTAAAAGCTGTTTTTTAGTTGTTAGCAAAGTCAATTTTAAAATAAAAGGTTCTTCTTGAGATTTAAACAAATGATTGAAAGTTTTATCTTAAAATCCAAATCTTAGATAAGTTTAATCATATTTAATTGTACCGAATAAGAATTAAATATCCTCATGATCCTCCTCATTATTGATTTTGTTTAAATACATAATCTTCTTTCCTAATTAATTTTTTTGTTAATAAATTTCCATTATTATAGTATATGTACTCTTCTGTCTGCATTTCTTATTATAATGTAGAATCAATGGATTAATAAATTAAAAGTTAATTAAATAAATCATTACTAAGTAATATAGAAATAGTAAGGCTGAGAAATAAATTGTACTTAATCTATAATGTTTCTAAGGACTCATATATAAACTTTAACTCAAATTTCGTAACTGTTATATATATCCTAATATATTATTTTATTATAAAGTATAAATAACACATAATTAAATTACTTTATTGATTTTTTTCGAAAATTACCTATAAATATGGTGGTCCAAAATATTATTAAGCCTATCTCTGGAATTTTTATAATATGATAGGTTTTATAATTAAATTATTTTTTGAAAATATAATTTTCTTACCTTTAGTATTATAATTCCATATAAGTAAAATTAGAATTTGTTCAAGAAAATTTAGAAAACCTGCTTCAAATGATTAATAAATAAAATTAAATACACTTTCAAGTATTAATAATATAAATGAAATTTGATTGATTTTAATAAAGATTAAGGTGTATTTTAATAAAAAATTAGTAAAATATATTGCGATAAGTAGATAATAATGATTGGATTATAATAGTATTAAGTGATTTATTTAGGATTAAAAGGCTGTTTAATTAAAAATAAATAAACCTGAAATTAAACTTTTTTCGTACTTAAATAAAATTTATCAAAGATATATAAAGTTTATATGAATAGTGAAAAGAACAAGGTATACTCAACTATTAATTTTAGAAATAATCTAATCTTAATCATAAGATGAGATAAAACGTTTTAAAAGTATAGAATAACTTATAATTCCACAATGAATCTTATAAATTTAGTAATGTAAATTTATAGGCTATATGGTGATGAATGAATAGGTTGCCCTCTTGGCCAAGTGGTTAAGGCATCTCCCTAGTAAGGAGAAGATCGACGGTTCGACCCCGTCAGGGGGCTTTTTTTTATTTAATTAATTAAAAATATAGTTTATATATAATTTTTGAGCAGAATAAAATAATTATATTTTTATAATGAAATCAGAGCCAGATCAAATAATGGAAAAAAGTCCGAAAGGTCGATTTATTAGAGTATTAAAATAACAATGCTAAAAGGCAGTTTAATGAACAAATCGGGAAAGGCACTTATAAGACTGTATATAGAGGATATGATGAAGAGTCTGGTTGTGAAATAGCTTGGAATGTTATTCATTTAGATCAATTACCATAGTGTATTATAAATTTCAATAGTTTTATAGAAGAAGAAAGGAAAAGAATATCTGAAGAACTTAGTATCCTAAATAATATAAAACATCCAAATATAATAAGTTTTATCAATGCATGGGTAAGTAAAAATAAAAGTGAGGTTATTTTTATTACAGAAATAGTTCATGGAGGATCATTAAAAAAGTATTTAAATAATTGAATATATAGACATTTGAGAAAAATATAGCGACCTCGATTAAAAATACTTAAACATTGGTGTAGAGAAATATTGAAAGGTTTAGAATACTTACATAGTATTGTACCATATCCAGTAATACATAGAGATATTAAATGTGATAATATCTTTATTAATACACATAATAATCAAGTGAGAATTGGTGATTTTGGTTTAGCCATAAAATTAAAACAACAAGATTTTACTTAATCTGTATTAGGAACACCAGAATTTATGGCTCCAGAAATATATGAAGAAAAATATGGTCCTGCTGTTGACATTTATGCATTTGGTATGACTTGTTTAGAAATTGCTACATAAAAAAGACCATATGAAGAATGTACAGCACCAAATCAAATTTATTAAAAGGTAATAATTAAAATATTTATTTAAGGTTATGAAAAGAATAAAACCAAAAACTTTAGATTTAATTTAAAATTAAGATTTAAGAGATTTTATATTAAAATGTTTAGAAGATTAAGAAAAAAGACCAACAGCAACAGAATTACTTAATGATAAATTCTTATAAGAATAAGAAGATGATCATTAACATGTTGTCATTTTAGAAGAGGAATAATTAGAATAAAATTTCTATAATGATACTCAAAAATATAAACCAATTTTCAGAGAATAATTAGATTTTAACAATTCAATTTTGATTTAACTAAATGATGGCGATGAAATGCATATCAAAATTATTTTTATAGATTAATCTTCATATACAGAAGAGTTTTAAGAATTAACTAAAGTTCTTGTTTAAAGATTTAAAGATCTTTAAGACCCTGCATAATTTATTACTTTTTAAGAATAAAGTAAGAATTATTTTTATTTAGTTATTAAATTTGGAGGAGTTGAAAAGGTTTTGTGGGTTAAACCAAGTGAAGAATCAAAAAGGATTATGAAAACTTAATTTTAATAATCACTCGAATCATTTCAATAAGTATCAATAGATATTAAAATAGACAATATCACCTCTTCTATAAGATGTTGACATAAATGAATGGGAATTGATAGAATAATAATTATTAGTGTAATTTTAGCATTAAAGAAAGTAACTCAAATCAAAACAGTCAATTTGAATTTACATAATGATATATTATTCAAAAAAGACAATCCTCAATATAGTATTTATCATACTTGAAATAAAATGATCATTTTTCTAATATTTTATTAATTAATATCAATAAGTTTAGTAAGCAAATGCTTTTTCATTTTTAATCAAAAATATTATTTCTTTTACATATGATAGCAGATAATGCTAATTACTATAAATGTTATTATAATTAAAGAGCAACATTTATTCAAAGAGAGAAATTTATTATCATTAATATTATTTATATAATGAGCAATAAAAATCCAATTATGTAAGACAATGCGTAAACTAATAATTCTTTGATTAAAGAAAATGATTCAAAAGTTGTAAATAATAAGAGTCAAGTACAGTAATTAACTGAGGAATAGAAATAACAATAAGTATAATGCTAAATTTCATATTTAAGATGGATTAATTTAAGAAATTCTTACAGTAAACAGGTATTTCAGATGCATTTTAAGTTATTTTTGCTGAGATAATAGACAAGAAATTAAAAGAGGAAGATAGTTACAAATATACAGCTGATAGATTAAGAGAAATAGGAAAAGGTTTGAGTACAGAGTAAATGGTAATTTAATTATTTATTCTAATTAGAAAGCAAAATCAGAGATGTAAAAAAAAGAATTAGCAGAGAAAATGAAAAAAAAATGAGTGACATATATTTATCATTCTTATTATATGTTTAAAACTAAATATATATTTTAAATATATAACAACTTTCTTTGAATCTAGTAAGCTTTATTCCTTTATACTAAATTATAAAATCACATAAATGAATGAAACTGATGCGTTTAAGAAATATAAATTATTTCAAATAAAATTATGTTTATAAATTAATAACTTCAAATTAAGTCGATTTCTTCATCAGAAAAACCTTAATCATATGTAAATGGGGATTATTTTTTCTTAAAAGATAAAGAACTTGATTTCATAAGTTTTTAATTCGATAGAATGAGTTAAACAATTTCTAGTATTTGATCATAAGGAACATTTTGTTCATTAAAATGCAATGAATGTTAATCAAATAAAAATGATGTAATTTTTTCTGCATCATTGATTTGAACCATCTCATTAAATTATATCTTATACATTTTTGTTTTATTGTCTGGTCGTCTTCTTTAGTTCAACATTCTTACTTATACACTAATCCTAGAGCAGGAGGGTAGTATTGACATACAATTTTACGAGCTTTCAAAGGTTTCTTAGATACATAATTCATAGCAAATTTTAATAATTAATGTTAAAATATTTTTCAAAATTCTAGATATCACATAATCATGAAATATTATATGAACTAGTAGATATATAAATGCTTTATAATTTAAAAGTTTTGAACTTCCGTATAAATAAATACGAAAAAGTAGTACATTTGATCAACAACACCATGTTTCAGTTCTCTTGATTACTTAAATAAATCGTCTTTAAGCTTGGTATTTTCATTTTATAGTTATTGATTCATTTAATTTAACATATTTATTTCTTTATTTTCTTAAAGAATGTATTATTATTATTATTAACTCTGAATTCTAGAATTGGGTACCTAAGTCTATTATTCATACATTTAACTTTAACTTTATTTATATTACTAATAATCATTATATAACTTTCTGTAATTTTGTTAAAGGTTTTCAATCTCATTGTTAAGTTCATCAATAAATTAATCATATTTTAGATCATGTTTGTTTAACAAGTTTTGCCCTTCATTTTTTAACATTTTTATAGTCATGTCTGATTGATCCAATTAATTTTTTTTTTATTACAGTTATAAATTTAAAGAAACAATTTCATCTTGCTTTTATTTTGAATACAGCTAACATTCTTCAATTTCAGTTTTTTATTTTTCAATTTGTAGATATAATGCTTAAACATTTTTTTCATAATTCTCTTTATTAATTTTTTTAAAATTGATTAATTCTTCTCTTAGTTAATCACACTCTTCCTCTCTATATTTTATTTATAAGAATATTACTTTTATTCAAATCTAAGTCTCCATTAATTAATTGAAGATTACATTCCTTCAAAGTTCTTTCTAATTTGTTCTTAATTTAAATTTTCTTCTAATTATTCTCTAAGTCTTTCTATTTCAGCAGCCATTAAAAACATAACAATCTTACAAAAGTCTATATCCTGAAAAGATAATCTATCTCTTTTATACTATTAATTTGATTCATAAAGAGAAATCCTTTAAGTTAATGAATTAGCTCTAGCATTTTTATATTTTTCTTTTTCATCTTAATCTGCCAATTTTATTTGTCCCTAAGAATTTTTATGAGTTTGTTTAGTGTATTCTAGAAGTCTGTCAACTGCTTAAAAATCAATTTCTTTTTTTTTTGGTTCTTATAATGGAAAATTTGAGTTTCTATACATTTAATTTACTTTTTGTTGATTTAACTTATTTTTTAATAATATTTTAACACTTAATAAGAATTAGACCTTCTAAATAATAATGATTAAAAGATTAGGAATCATTTCTTCAAAAAAATAAGAATATAATTTATTGTAAATTAGCTTCCAATTGATTAAATANTTTATTTCTTTATTTTCTTAAAGAATGTATTATTATTATTATTAACTCTGAATTCTAGAATTGGGTACCTAAGTCTATTATTCATACATTTAACTTTAACTTTATTTATATTACTAATAATCATTATATAACTTTCTGTAATTTTGTTAAAGGTTTTCAATCTCATTGTTAAGTTCATCAATAAATTAATCATATTTTAGATCATGTTTGTTTAACAAGTTTTGCCCTTCATTTTTTAACATTTTTATAGTCATGTCTGATTGATCCAATTAATTTTTTTTTTATTACAGTTATAAATTTAAAGAAACAATTTCATCTTGCTTTTATTTTGAATACAGCTAACATTCTTCAATTTCAGTTTTTTATTTTTCAATTTGTAGATATAATGCTTAAACATTTTTTTCATAATTCTCTTTATTAATTTTTTTAAAATTGATTAATTCTTCTCTTAGTTAATCACACTCTTCCTCTCTATATTTTATTTATAAGAATATTACTTTTATTCAAATCTAAGTCTCCATTAATTAATAGAAGATTACATTCCTTCAAAGTTCTTTCTAATTTGTTCTTAATTTAAATTTTCTTCTAATTATTCTCTAAGTCTTTCTATTTCAGCAGCCATTAAAAACATAACAATCTTACAAAAGTCTATATCCTGAAAAGATAATCTATCTCTTTTATACTATTAATTTGATTCATAAAGAGAAATCCTTTAAGTTAATGAATTAGCTCTAGCATTTTTATATTTTTCTTTTTCATCTTAATCTGCCAATTTTATTTGTCCCTAAGAATTTTTATGAGTTTGTTTAGTGTATTCTAGAAGTCTGTCAACTGCTTAAAAATCAATTTCTTTTTTTTTTGGTTCTTATAATGGAAAATTTGAGTTTCTATACATTTAATTTACTTTTTGTTGATTTAACTTATTTTTTAATAATATTTTAACACTTAATAAGAATTAGACCTTCTAAATAATAATGATTAAAAGATTAGGAATCATTTCTTCAAAAAAATAAGAATATAATTTATTGTAAATTAGCTTCCAATTGATTAAATATACTTCCTAATTTTTAGGTAGAAGAATTTTATTCAATTCTATATGGATATTGTAATCAAAACGTAATTTATAAGGAGGCATAGATTTTTTGGATAACTAAAGCTATCAAAAAAGATCATAACGTAAACAGAACAATTAAAAAAAACTCATCAAAATAATGATTAAAAAGATTTCATCAAAAGATATGAGATTGCTAGGCTCGAAAAGTTCCTAATTATTTTCTTTACTTTAAGTTGTAATAATAGATATTATTCATGATTTGGAGAGGATATATATATATATATGATATAAATTAATTAATTCAAGCCCTTATATTTTGAGTATATTAAAACTTGTCTTCTGATTAGATGCACTCAAAAGATAAGAAACAGAGGAGAAAAACTTCTGTAAAATCAATTGGTTACTTATTTATCTCTATGCAAACCTCATTTTGATGATTGCAGTAATTCTATTTTTTTAATATTCCAAAAAGAATAAGGAGTCTTTGGTGCAGATGTAATATCATAGAATATAATCATTTACGTAATTTAAATTTAGAAGAGCTACTTGTATTGGTTATCTATTATATAAGCTAAAACTGGAGAATTAGTAAACAATATTAAAAATAAATAAAAATTTTGGAGATTATTCAATTTAATAATAAAATTTTGAAAACTATGATTAATTTTATTTATTTGAAGTAGTTAGACCAGGTTATGGTATATAATTTTATTGAAATAATAAGATAATTTAATTATTTCTATGATATAAAATTATAAAAGATTTATCATAATTTATTAAAGATTTAATTATAAGATTGGTTTAGGATTATAATTATAAATTTTTAAAAATAAGAGGATTCAAATATTTGATAAATAATTCTAGTCTATTATATAAGAGGAGGATCTTATAAAATTTATAAAAAGATGAATGATTTTTATGAAAAATTTTCGAGAAATAAAAATATTCTAACAAATTTGAAAATAAAATATATTAATTTATAAAGTTGAAAGAACAAATGTAAAAATAAGTGAATAGATGCTTATTTAGAAGGAAGGTTGTATAGATGCATCAGAATTTGAGTTTAAAGTTAGAGTTGAAGAACTAGTATTTATTTATTAATGAAATATATATTAAATTGGAAATCAAATGAGTATTAAGGGTCTAAAGGTCTTTTTGATAGCATCAAATTTTTATTTAAGAATATCTAACTAATTGGTTGGTTCAATTGAGTCAATCTATTGAGGTTTCTTACTTTGATATTCAACTATTAGAATAAAATGATAGTTTACTTTTCTTAAAGTAGGGATGGAATACAACAATGCCATCATTAGTAGTTTGAACATTTGATATTTATTATTCAGTCTATGTTCTAACTTGTTCTTGATTTTGATTGAGATTGATTAATAAGTTTTGAATTAAAGACATTATCTAGGATTAAAGAGAATAGTTACTCCTTCTTCAGATTATTCTTTTTTAGGTTTTTTGAAGGTTGTTTTTTTTGGCTTTAAGACACAGAATTAAATCTGTAAGTCAAATGTTTATCCATTATCATGTGGATAGATGCAATTCAACCAATCAGTGGTGCATCCATATTCATATACTAAATAATAATTAATTAAGGTACCTTTCTTTTATTCTTAGACTTTCTTTTATAAGTACTTATCCTATTTTTAATCTGATTTCTTGATTGAGGGTTTTTGTTCTTTAATCTCTTAAAGCATTTCTTTGAAGTTCTCAGTCATTTTCTTTTATCTGGATGATTTGCGAACTAAACATATAAAGATAGTGTTACTTTAGGTTGATTCTTCTTGTTTCAAACTCATTTACTTCAATTTTATTATTTATCAAGTCATTGAAAAACTAACTTAAATAGCCTCTCTATTGTAGATAATATAACATATTATAATATATCATCATTCTGGCTGTTAATTCTATTGATTTTATTCCATTAGTTATTGCTGTTCCTATTAGATTTATTCTCTTCTCCTTTATTCCAAATATTTTCTATTAGTCTCTTAAAGTTCTTTATTTAATCTCTCGATATCGTATTTATATTCATTAATCTATTATTATATAGATCAATTACTTAAGCTTAATACATATTTAATTCAGCAGCTAAACTTTTCATTTATCTAGTCTTTGCTTTCATTTGCTCTTGTAATTTAGAAATTTAAGTAGCTTCTTCTAATCCTGGTTATTTTCTCATTATATCTCTTAATTCCAATATTTGTTTCTCTTTTTGTTGAATTAAAACTTCTTTTTCTACAACTTATTCAGTTTTATAGATCAATCTTCTTTGTAAAGTTTTAATTTTTTATTTCATTTCATAAACATCTGGATCACTCTATAATTATATGATAATTCTTACTCCTCCTAGTTTTTTGCATCTTTAAGGATTCAATGGATTTTCTAATTCTTCACTTAATGCCTTTACTCTCAATTTTTCTTCTACTAAATCCTTTTATAAATTATTAATTTTCTCTTTTAAAATAGGAGCTTAGCCAGCCTTCTTTCTCTTAATTTTTAATTCTCTTTATAAATCTGATATCTTAAACTTTAATAATTCTATATCACTAAGTCTTTCTCTATATTATTATTCACCATAAGCTAAAGTCTCTTATTATACTTTAATTTTCTCATATAACAATGCTGATTCATCATTTCTTCTAATCAATTAAGTACCTAATATATCCCTTTCAGATACTACTGTCTCATATTCTTCTTTAAGTTTCTATCTCTTAATTTCACTATCCTTTAAAACAAAATGCAATTTAGATATTTCACCTACATAATTTTTTATTGTTTCTTCCTTCTCTTCTATTTCCTTTCTATTCTTCTCTAGAATTCTACAACATTCCTCTATAGTCTTATCCTTCTTTTTATGTTCAAAATGTTCTTTAGCTAATGCTACTTCCTTTGCATCTATTTCCTCTTTCAATTAAGCTATCTAATGTTAAACTATCTTATGTCTTCTCTTTATAACTGCTATCTCATCTTATGTCTCTAATAAGTTTTTTGAATATAAGTTTCTATCTGATCTTACTTCCTCATATAAATGTTATTATTATTTTAATTTATTATCTGTTTCTATATTTTTCTTCTAAAATTCACTTATTAAATTATCTTTTAATTTGATTTCCTCTTAAGAATGCAAAAACTTTGCATTTATTAGAGCAGCATCCTTTCCAAATTTCTCCTTCTTCTTTGTATTTATTACGAATTGTTTCTCTCGCTCATCTACTTCCTTTTATAAATTTACTATCTCCTCCTCTTAAGATACTATTTGATTATCAATCGAATTTATTTTCTCATTTAATTTACTATTATATTCTTCTGATTTAGCTTTATGATTTGCAAAACTTATATGTGCTTTTCTTAATTCCTCAAGTAATTATTAATCTTATTCATTAAATTTCTTTGTATCTGTTACATGTCTATCCAATTATTAAATTGAATTTATTGCTACTTCTTTATCTTTTATTATTTTATCTCTTTGCTTTTATAAATCTAATAATTTTTTATTCAAATTATTATTTTTCTTCTCTACTTAATTTAAATGAGTTCTTGCATTATTTTTCTCATTCTTTAACTTAATTATTTCTGCTTCATTACTCTCTCTAATATCTTCATTCTCTTCCTTTTTATTCATTATCTCTTTGTGAATCTTTTTTACTTCAGCTACTTAATCTCTTAATTTTCTTAGTTCATTTTCTTCTATTTCCTTATCTTCATCCTTTTTCTATAATGTTTCTGTTTATTTCTTTAATTCTATTTATACTTTAGATAAATCTTCTTTTTATTTCTCATATTCTTTTTTTGTTTTAATGTAGTTCTACCTTAATTATTCTAATTCTTCATTAATGTTATTTCTTCTTTATTCATCTTTATCTACTTTTTCTTACATTTCTTATAAATTCTTTTTTAATTATTATGAACTTTAATCAAGTATTAATTTATCATTTTCCAACAACTTTAATGAAGTAATATGACCTCCTGTTTCTGATCTATTTTTAATTAACTCTGCTTATAAACTGTCCCTTTCTACAAAAGATTATAAAAATACCTTTAATTAATTCTTCTTTTTAAGTTTACAATTCTGTGATTTTATTAGTTTAACTCTATAAAGCATTACCTTATTCAACTAAATCTTATAGATGTTTAATTTCAGCCTAAAAGTTTTCAATTTTCTATTTTAATTTATCTTCTCTCATTTATGCTTATTCAATAATTTTATAAGTATTATCAAGATCAGTTTTTAGTAATTTGATTCTTTCAACATCTTCTTGTGAAAATTTCAATGCATTAGTTACTTTTCCAGCATTATTTAAAATATCACTATTGATATCTCTCAATTTTCTAAGTAATCTTCTCTCTTAATCATAAGCGTTTCGAAATGCTTAATGTAATTTTGTATATTCTTGCCTAAATCTCTCTAAAGCAGGCTCATTAGCTAATTCATTTATTATCTATATATAGCTATTGTTATCTTACTTCTTAAAATTCTCTCTCTAAAGCATCTCTATCTTACTCAGAGAAACCTAAATCTTCCATTTATTTTAAAATAAAATAATTATTTATTATTATAAGGACCAACACACTATAAAAAACAAAGAATTTAATTTCCAGAATTCATCTCTCTAAAATCTCTAATTGATTGATTTTAAATCCCTATAATTTTTTGATTAAAGTAATAAATGGATGCTCAAATTTTTGATATATATTTTAATGGATAACGAACCAAAAATCATTAAAAAGATCTATGTTTATCCTGAAACTTCTATTCAATAAATGAAATAAGCTCAAGAATATTAATGGATTAATACATAATTATATTAAGATCAAAATATCTAAAAATTAATGGATATGTGTTTCTCTCACTAAATGTAATAAATTCTACATCGTTTTGATTTTGAAGATTTTCAATAACCATTAAGAGAGGTTTAATATTTGTTAAAAGATTTAAAAGGAAAATTTATACCATAACAAAAAAATAAAATAAAAGAATCTTAGATTTACAAAATACCTAATAAAAAAACCAATTAACATTAAAGAACCTAATTATTAGCCTCAATCAAATCTAAACTTACATAAATGGTTTAAGAAAGTAAATTATTTCCTTCATTAATTAACTTTATAAAACTTGAATAAGATTAATAAAATTATCAATTCAATGTTTGTAAATTAGGACTCCTAAATGATGCAGCTGAAATCATGTTATAATGTGGTCGTTTTGGAGTATTAAATGCTTAAATAAAGAATCCTTAAAATTTAACAATTACTGATCTTCTTTTAGAATTATTTAGATAATTAAATCATTACAATATAGTTGATGATAAAGAAATAGCTGAGGAAGTTTGGTTTTCATTTAATAGAGCTAAAAACAAAACTCATCTAGCTGAACTCTTAAGTCACGAAATAGCTTAATAATTATCTTATAAAGATATGGAGATTTAACGAGAAATTTTAATTTTATAAGGTACCATCTTAAAATTGAACTTTAATGCATAATTTCTTAATAATTAAAGAGAAAAAATAATCAAAGTCCTTAGAAAAAGAGTACAAGTCTAATTATATCATGAATGTTAAGTACGAAAAATAGCCTAACCAGAAATATTGCCAAATCTTACTTTATCTGTAAAACAATATAGATCAACTCATGGAGTATTTTGTGGATGTGCTCTCTAATTTCCTATTGTAATGATTAAAAAATTTAGTATTACTCCAGGATTAGAAGATGTTTGTAAGAATCTCTGTTTAAGCATACTTTAAAATTTAGATACAATTAATTTTTGTTTAGCTATTACATATGAAAAATATTTATCTTCTAGATTATACAAATAGCATAATACATTTTAAGTAAGAACTATAATTTAAAATGCCTTAGAAGATATAATTCTAAAGATGTAATCTGATATCAATCTTTGTAAATTCTTAAGGTTAGCTGTACTTGATTAATAATTTATTAAATTCTACAATCTATTACATAGATACAACATGGTAAACTAAAATGATAACAGCATTCCAAATGATAAAAAAGATCAGACTAATTAATTAATATTAACTGCTGTTCATTGTATTTTAGAAAAAGTAAAAAATTTATAGTTAGAAAATAATATTGTTGAATAGAAATACGAAATTAATCTTCCACCCGAAAAGATAATAAAAGTTAATATGAAAAAACATAAAATGAATTAATCAGAGAAATTACTATTTTATATAAAATTAATAGCAAGCGATTTGAATAAATTAAAAATACCTCTATTTGAAATTATCTATTATATTACAGCCATTAATAATAAGTTTTAATTTAGAAATGATTTACAACCTAAAAGTACAATTAGATTTTTTACATATCCACATATAATTTATTATGTTGAAGAACTTTATGGTGTAAAGACAATAGTTGAATGGGAATCTCAGATGTCATGTGAAATAGATTATTTTAGTTTAGCAAATTTAGATTTATTAATAGAACTAGATGATGATTAAATTATTGAATAATAATTAACAATTATGGAGAGAAGTCTTAAAAGAGATAGAGCTAGATATTCTTGGGCAATAGAATATGTATCTTAGAAATGCTAGGAATTATTGTTGGAAACTAAACAATTACAGAAATGTAAAATTAAAAAATGTATAGAAAATTTATATTTTGAAGTGAAAAAATAAAAATGAATATGACATTTTATAATTAAGTTATATTTCTTAATCTTCTAATAATTATGGAAATTTAGATTGCAATTTAAATCAATGTAAATTTCCAAAACATTATAATTGTGCAAATTAATTATTTTAAGGCAATGAACCATCTAGCCTTAATCTTTATTGTTTTCATACTCAATTTATGTATGGCTTAAATTGATAATACTACAACTTATAAACGTAATTTATAAGAAATCCAAACATAATGCTAACTGAATCAATTTCTCTTAGGAAATAATTGTTATGGTAAAAAATATGATTATTATTGAGATTGCCATTATAGTTGTTAATAATGCGTTGGAAATTAATTTGATAATTGTTCTTCATGTAATGTTGTTACTAAAAGAATTTTAATTGATAATTAATGCTTGTGCTTAGCTTCCTATTATGAATAAGACTAATAAGCAATTTGTCAATGTAAAATTTAAATTATAATTTAGAATGTAACAAATCTTGTTTAACTTGTCAAGGAGGATCAGAAAATGATTGTTTAAGTTGTAATAGTAATAGTATCTTAACAGAAAACAGATGCCTTTGTAAATAAGGCTATTTTTATAATTAATACAATATGGAATGCTAATGTAAATAAATTAAATAAATAATAAAAAGAATGTAATTTTACTTGTGAATATTGTTTCAATTCTTCCTTTGATACTTGTATTAAATGTATGCAAGAATCTTTAAGATAACTAGAGAATATGTAATGTAAATGTCCATTAGGTTATTATTCATAAGTAGGAGTTGAGAAATGTTAGAGTATGAAATAATAATATTTAAGGATGTAATGAAATTTGCAATAGTTGTGATTCATATAATTCCTGTACAAGTTGTAAAGAAGATAAAGTATTAGTTATGAATACATGTGTTTGTTAAACAGGTTATGTTTAAGTTTAAAATGGAAAGATAAATATTTGTTAAAGTTTAATTAATCATTTTTACAATAGAGTGTCATGCATAGTGTTAATCTTGTTTTGGGATTCTAGCTTATTAATGTTCTAGTTGTATGCCAAATTGGACATTGCAAATTAATAATACATGTTATTGTGATGATGGATATTTCTTATTCAATAATGATTGTTTGGTCTGTGATGCTAATTGTTTAACTTGTTCATATTCAAGTACAAACTGTTTATCATGTGTATTTGGTTATATATTGTAAACAAATAATAAGTGCTGCCATTTTACAAATATTTTACTTGATAATTCATGTTAATGTGCAGATGAATTTTATCTTGACAGCAATGGAATTTGCCAAAGTAAATAATATCTATTTTTTACAGATTGTCCTCAAAATTGTTTAAAATGCGATGAAAATTTTGATTGTTAAGAATGTGTAGATAAACTATAAACTGGAAGTTAATGTAATCAAAGCTGTTTACCTGTAAATTGCGAAGAATGCAATTAAATTGGAATATGCACTAAATGTTTTCCTAATTATTAAACAAATTTACTTGGAGATTGTATTTGTTAATCATAGGAGTTTTTTCTTGATTTATCAAATACAATATGTACAAGTAATAATATAAATATGATAATTAGAATGTTCCATGTAGATTGATAAATGTAATTTATGCGATATTACAGGTTGTTTAAGTTGTGAAAACGGTTATTTTTAATAAAATGGATATTGTATGAATTGTATGGATAATTGCAAATCTTGTTAAACCTTAATTGTATGTGATATATGTAATGATGGGTATTTTGGTACTTCGTGTGATTAATGTCATGAAAGCTGCAAAAATTGTTTGGGTTTTTTGAATATCGAATGCAGAGAATGTAAAGAAAATACAATTTAAAACAATATTTAAATAAGTTTAGGCAGCATATCAATATTTTCATGTGAATGTGATTATTTATTTTATCATGATTCTAATTTTAATTGTCAACCCTGCAACACTAAATGTAATTAATGTGATGGAGGATCAAGTTTAGATTGTTTAGATTGTTTTTTAAGTTAAAAAAGAGTATTTTTAGCTAAAAGTTGTATTTGCGATACTGCAAATAATTTTATGGATTTAGGAGATGATTAATGCTATGAAATAAGTTGTGGTTACGGTTGTTCTGATTGCCAACTTGTTGGAATAGTATATGAGTGTCAAACTTGTCATGTTGGTTAAACATATAGAGAAGATAACCCATAATAAAATTGTCCTTGTTTATCAGGTTATTATGAAGTAAATAAAAAGCAATGTGATTGTAAAAATTTCACTTTATTTAGAATGTCCATATTAATGTGGAACTTGTAGTTTAAATGTGTTTAATCAGCCATATTGTACAACTTGTTCAGAGAATAGAGATTTAAATGATGATTGTAACTGCAATATTGGATATTATTAAAGTAGCGGGTAAACTTGTCTTAAATGTTCAGAAAAATGTTTAAGTTGTACATCAACAGGTATATGTATTTAATGTTAATAAAATTTTATATTAAATAATGGAAGATGTGTATGCGCTCTAAAAAATTTTGCAAATAAATCAATATGTATTTGCTCATAAGGATATTATAATCACTTAGAAACTTAAAAATGTTTACGTAAATATTTTAATTATTTTTAGCTTGTCATCCAAAATGTAAATAATGTGAATTAACATCTATAAATTGTGTTATATGTTCTGATAATCATTATAACCCACCTGAATGTAAATGTGCATCAGGTTTATATGAATAAGATACAATGTGTCTTCCATGTAAGAATAATTGTCATCTCTGTAAATCTGATTCTATTTGTTTGGATTGCTCTAATACAATGATTTTAATTAAAAATTAATGTGAATGTTCATCTGGATATTTTAATTATCCTGGAAATCCAATATGCAATTCGTGTTCATAAAATTGTTCAGAATGTAAATATCATTAAGATAATTGTATCAAATGTAAATACAATAGAGTCTAACCTTAATTATGTATATGTCCATAAGGAACCTATGAGGTTGATATTACTTAACCATGTTCTATTTGTAATACTAGATGTTCTAGTTGTGAATTTGATTCAAATAATTGTTTAAAGTGTTCATTAAATAGAATAAATCCACCTACTTGTAAATGCAAAATAGGATATTTTGAAAATCAAGAATAAGAGTGTAGAAAATGCAATTCAAAATGTACACAATGTGAAACTTCATCAGATAATTGTTTAAATTGTAAACTTAACTCTGCTGTACCTCCAAATTGTGATTGTTTAGATGGATATTTCTATGATATTGAAAATGGATGTGTTAAATGTCATGATAAATGTCTTACTTGTAATGGTTCTGATGAGTATCATTGTTTAAGCTGCGATAATCTTAGATTTTTATAATTATAGAATACTGAATGTTAATGCTAATCTAATTATTATTAAAAAGAGGATTATTGTTAAATCTGTTCAATTGATGTAGAAGTATGTCAACCTTTAATATGTGGAAATGGAATCAAACAACGATAGGAGGAATGTGATGATGGCAATTTTGATAATAGAGATGGATGTTCAAGAGATTGTAAATTAGAAACAGATTATTTTTGTCAATTAATTCCAAATTTGCTTATCCATAACTCTACTTCAATTTCAAAATGTACTAAATGTTCAGAATAGTGTAAACACTGCAACTCCAATAGATGTTTATAATGTCACAGTGGTTATTTTATGACTAAATCATTTGAATGCAATAAATGTGAGTAATATTCTTTCCTATTCTTATAGCAAGCATTGTAAAGAATGTTCAGGTCCTTTTTAAAGAGATTGTTTATCCTGTATCAAAGGAATCGATTATGATTTATCCTAAAAATGTGCTTTTTGTGAAGAAACATTAGGTTTGTACACAAATGGACTTCATTGTGCTTCTCTATGTGGAGATGGTATTATAAAGACAGATGAAAAATGTGATGATGGCAACAACCTGAATTATGATGGATGCTCAAATTTATGTCAAATTGAACAAGACTGGAGCTGTTCATAATCAAATAATTCATAAAGTGTTTGTCAAAAATTAAATTTATCAATAGCATCTTTATAATTTCAAAGAGTTAAAGATTTCTATTAATCATAAAGAATTGGATTGATTTAATTCTCTAAACCTATGATCCTACTTAATTCATCACTGATAGGATAATGGAAATAATAAATTGTTAATCATACTGATCATGAAGATTTTGAAATTCAATCAACTCCTAATTATAATCAAAATGGACATTTGGAGTCCATTTCAATATTATTAACATTGCATAAAAGTATTGATTATATATAGTATCATATTAATTTTTCAACTTACATCATTCATGATGCTATTGACAATTATCCACTAAAATCATCAAGTCTATAAACTGATTTATTAAAATATAAATAATTAAGCACTCAAACCTTAACTACTACTTAAGCATCAAGATAATTTGGATCTACTGTTTTGTTTATTCTTGGTGGAATTGCTGCCCTTGGATTATTGATGGGAAGTTTGGAATTTTATTGGAATGTTCTAGACAATCTTTAAATTTTATCATATATCACATATATTAATGTCAACTTCCCTTACATGCATAATCAATTTCTAGATATTTTCTAATTTGCCAGATTTGAATTCACCAATGACTATTTTAAAATTGACATCATCAATGGTTTAGATTATCAATAAAATAAAGATTATCCTTTAATTGTTTAGAGAGAAATTGAATATAATTTGGTCATTAATTTTAGCTCTATTTTAGTCCTTTGGGCTACTCCTTTAATCCTTTTACTCATTTCTAAATTTAATCTATTCATCATTCATCGATTATTGATTACCAGATTTAGAGTTATAAATAAAAATCAAAAAGTTAACAGTCTTAAATTTTTGGGTTATAAAGTTATATCGTTTATTCATTTCATTAGCTTGAAGTATTGTTCTAGTTTCCAATATACAATCATACTAAGAATCTATTTATCAAGCTTATATGATCTGAATTTTTCCATTTTTACATCAGCCTACTGCTGGCTATGGAATTAAACTCCTACTCTTGTAGATTAGATTTCATTTATTATTGCTATGACCTTACTTTTATTCTAATTTGTTATTCTATTTAAACTTTCAGATTCTTTAAAGGTCTCCTCTTATTAAATCAATTCATTTTCCTATGAGAAGAGTTTTGGATCATTATATGAAGGCATAAAATCTAATAAATAAATCAATCGATAAATTCAATTTATACAACCACTTAGAAAAATTATATTTATGGGAGCTCTACTTTTATTTTTTGATTCTGCTATATACTAAATATCACTTTTAATTTCGATACAAATTATGTCCTCGTTTATTTTGATCTTTCTTAATCCTTATTTAAATATTTTAGAAACTATTAAAGGTATAACTTAAGATGTAGGATTAAGTCTATCTTTATCTTTAATCTTATTTTATTTTGCTTAAGATTAATTTCAAATAACAGACTAAGATACAATAGAAAAACTCTCATATATTCATGTTGGAATATATACAATCATGCTTTCGACTAGTCTTATTATTGACTTATATTAATAATTTAAGATAATCACTAATAAATACAAATATATAAGATAGATTACTCAAATGTGTTAAAAAAAGTAACTAGAATAAAATCAAGAATCCAATAGAAATTTATTCATAGATTTAAGTTAGTAGAATGATATCAAACTTACTAATAATTAAATTTGCTTCGCTGATTTAAGGATTTCTTGAGAATTATTATTATAGTTTTCACAAATTTTATAAAAATCAATTTAAACCATTATTTGGAACATAGGTAACTCCTCCAAAATCTTCTTTAAATTTCTCTACCAATTTCGGATCCATTTTTACGACTGAATTCATAGCTTCTAATATAAAATAAATTAATTTGATAACCTTCTCTTGTAAATTCTAGGTCAAAATTTTGTACATCTAATTTATCATACAATTTTGGAATGATTGGAGGTTAAATTTTCTTTTCTAATAAATCTTAAAATTTAAAATCTTTGAACCAAGGGTGAATTTTTATGGATGCTCCGCCTCCATTATGTCCTAACCTTTCGAATGGATTTTTTATTAATAGCTATTTAATATATTTATTGAGGATATAATACTTTCATAATCAAATCTTTAACTTGGTTACTTAAACATAATTATTGAGGAAATACTATATCTGATTCTATTATAGCTCTAAATAATAAAGATTGGCTTTAAGAAAAAAATGGAGGTCTCCCAACTAACATCTCATATCTAAATTAAAAATTTATTGTACATCAAAATTCCAAATGACCACCAATCTACTTCAAAACTATGTCCATTCTATCTGATAATCTCTGGAGCCAAATATTCAGGAGTTCCAACAAAAGAAAATGTTTTATCACCTTGTTTTAGAAATTTTGCTAATCCATAATCACTCATTTTAATATAGCCAAATTCATCCATCAATATATTTTCAGGTTTCAAATCTCTATAAATAACTGATATTGAGTGCAAATGTTCTATAGCAAGTAAAATAGAAGCAGCATAAAATTAGGCAGTAGCTTCTGGAAATCTTTTTTTGTCTCTTAAATGTTTAAATAACTCGCCTCCTCTATTTTATATAATTTTTAGCAATACCTCATAAATTTCATCACGAAAAATAGTTTCTCTTTTGTTTAAAAGGCATATTCCAATGATATAAGAAATGGATGGTCAATTTCTTCTAACAATTTTCTTTCTGCTTTTGTATGCTCAACTTAATTTTTGTCTAAAATATGTTCTTTTCTTAAAGATTTAATAGCGAAAAGTTCTTTTGTATCTTTTTTTTCGCACATCATAACCTTTGATTCGATTAAAAAATACTTTTCCAAATGCTCCACGTCCAAGTACTTTGATTAAATCAAACTGCTCAATTGAAATTAGTGTACTACCAGCTTATTTTTATTATCCATTTCGTTTATAGATTAATTGCTATGGCAATGGTTAATTCTTTTAATAATCTTAAAATTCAATGACATCAAGTTCCTAAATATTTTTAGATTATTACAATTGGTTTTTCTATTGGATATCTTTTAATTCCCTTTTTAACATCATTTTCAGTTGTACAATACGAAATTAAAGTGAAATCATCTTTAAAGTAAAATGGAAGTTTTTTATAAGTTAATGAATTGTATACTATTATTAGTGTTTCGAGAATCGTTTTACGACTAATAAATATATAAATTAATTACAAATCACTTGATTAGAATCTATAATCATATTCTTATGAAACATGTAACACAAATTCTGTTCCAATATTACTAACAATAATAGCTGAAATTAATTGAAGACGAATTTTCCTTTGAATTTAGATTGATTTACCTGGAATATTAAATAAATGTTGATACCGAAAAATTATAATATTTTACTATCTGTCTTTATATTATATACAAATCTATTAGTTAATAGAAATATTCTTTCCTGTTTCTTATTTTTTTGATTCACTTTGATAATGTTTGAGGAAAGTAATACTGTTTCTTGAAATTATAATTTAAAATACCGCCATCTTCTAATTGATTCTATAAATCTTTATTATTGTTCATCTGTAATCTATCTAATCCATTAAAGTTTTGAATTGAGGAAGAATTCATGAATATTATTTTATTTGCCAAATAATAATATTATACACTTATTTGTTAACTAGATAAAAATCTTAGGCATAATAATATTTGATTAATATTATTTAAAGAATAGTAATATTTAAAGAAGAAACTAATTAAAAACACTTAAATAATGATTACATAATCTTTAAATAGATAATGGTTTATATATTAGATTAATGATATAGGAATATATATATAATCAATTCTCTAGAATAATAAAGATAAATACCTTCTTCATCCTACTCATATTATTCCCCTTCTCCTTCTTATTCTTATTCACCTTCTCCATCTTCCTCTTCCAATTAATTTGGATCAATACCAAATAAGTGAAGGTTTTACTAATAAAATTTATTTTATATAATACACTAAATAATTCTCTAAATTGATTGTTCTCTGTTTGTAATTTTTCATTTTCTTCCATCATAGCTTACTTTTCATCTTACATCTATTAATATAATTATTTAAAATTTTCTATTAATTCCTCTAATTTCTTGATTTCTTCATCCTTTTATTCAAGTTATTGAAGTAATTCATCATTATCTTCTCTTTTTTCTCCTCCTTCTGGGCCTCCTCCTTGTTCAAGTTAATTTTTTAATTCTTCGATAATTTAATCTTTTTCATCAATTTCATTTGCCATTTCTTCCATTTTTGCCTATATCTCTTCAAGATTGTAATTTTAGAATTCTTCAGCTATCTCATCTATTTATTATTGTTTTTCATTTATAACTTGCTCCATATCTTTAATCTATTTTTCATATTATTTTTTTTAAAGATCCAATTTTTTTTAAGTTTGCTGATCTGCATTTTTGACTTACTCATTTAATTTTTTTACCTATATTTAAATTAGATTTTACTTCATCAGTTAAAGTAGTTATTTTTTTTTTTTCATCTGTGCTTTCTTTTTTTAAATCATTTATTTTCTTTTCAAACTCTTTTTAGTTTTATTATCTAATTTATACTGAAAATATACATTTTCTTATCAATCTCACTATTAATGTTTTTAATTTAGTCTTTTGTTTATTGAATCTCTTTTCTAAGTTCATTATTTTAATCTTATTCCTCTTAGATTTATTCTTTGAGTTTATTGTTTTAAGAATTACTCATGTAAGATGCAGAATTATTTTGCCTTTAGACTTCTTCTTATTTAGGTTCTACTTTTTGTTTGGTTTAAGATTAAGGATAAATATAATTGTTTGTAAACTTATTTGGTAGAGATTACTATTAAACTAATTAAACAGGTTCTTTAACAGGCTTTTAATTATTCAAAATTTCTTCTTTTTAAGGTACATCTGGCTTTATTTATTTAAAGTTGTTCGAGAATTGTTTATATGAAGCCGAGGATTGAGGTTTTGATATACCTTGTGGTTATTATTTTTGTTATTACAATTCAGGTTTAGACTATAAAAATTCAAAAATTAATAATTACTTTTAAAGAGGATTCTTTCAAAGCTGAAGCTGATCCTGCCTTTTAATACATTTCTAAAAATAATGATTATATATTTACCTTGATAAGGGATGATTTCAGTTTTATGCTGCTCATCTGATGGATTGTTTTTATTATGTACCTAAGAATCACAACTATAACACAATCTATAAGTTTAGCCCAATTAACATTAATTGCACTTTATTGTGGCTGGTCTTTGTTAACAAACCATACACTTGACAAAGAGAGAACTCATAATTCAAAATAAATTTATTTGAATAATAATTAAGATAAAACTTATATCTTCAATAATGTCAATCGTTAAATTGGGATTAACAAAAATAAAAATAAAAATCAATTCTTATTCTTTTATAATATATTGATCATTCAAATAATTCAAATAACGCTTCCATATCATCATTGTCATCATCAGAGAAATCACTATCCTCACTCTCATCATCATCTTCTTTCTTTTCTTTTTTTGGAAGTATGCTTTCAACAAATGGACAAGCATTCTTTGATTGTTTTAAAATCTTTTATAGATTGATTAATCCTTTAGTCACTAATAATGGTCTTTCTTTTTATTCTATAATTTATAAGGAGATCTTTGCAGCATCATCTATGACAGTGATACATTAATCTGGTAAAACAAATCCTAAGACTGATTTTACATCATCTCCCCAACAATTAGTTATAACAGGTTCCACTAAATGAGACATTTCAACTAAACTATCAACAAGAATATCTGAAAATCCATCTTCTTCAAATTCATTATATGATTTATAAGCATTTGTAGCTAATTCAAAACCTCCTTTCATACAGACTCCTATTTTTTATGTAAAAGTTGACAAATCAACTCCTTCTGATCCAGAACAAGATTTCTTTATAGTCACTAATGACTTTAAAATTCCAACTATTTCTTTTATACTTGAAACAATCTTTCTTTCATTCACATTTCCATACAATCTAGAAAATTTTGGAGTCAACTTTGTGACTTCTCCTGTACATTTAGAGTTGATAGAGATTGCACTTGTTGCTATAATCAATACAATAACAATAAAAAGCTTCATTAAAATTAATATATACAATGACGTCAAATTATTGATAATAATTAAATAATCATTTTTTCTTTGTAAACTTTATAATGATTCTACTTAATCTTTATATGAAATACATAAACAATAAAATTTTACAATTTCAACAAAGCTTCACTTCAAATTCATTTATTTAATTTTTTTATATTTCATACTAACATTTGTAATGTATTTTTTTCTTCTTCATTATTTTCGCGTTTTCAATTGTTTTCTGAAATAATTTGAAGTTAAGTTAATTAAAAATAATTATTTAATATATGATAATCAATGTTTTTAAAAAATAATAACAAAATGTATTGCGTTGATTCAATGTTATATTTTTCTGAAACTACTATATACAACTTTTGATTTTTTATCAAATGTGACTTTTTTGATAGATTTTTAAGATCCTGTTGTTAATGAGTCTTTGAGTTAATTTTTAGGACTTTAAGGGTTTGAATTATTTTAGCTTCTGCGTTTTAAAATTGATTTGTGTTTTGTGATATCTAAATTAGAATCTCTCAAATCACTATTCGGATCTTCCTTTGAAATACTACTCTATTCTCGTAATTCTGGTTTTTCTTTTAATATCAAGACATCATCTACTGATAATTTTACATCTGCTTGTTTTAAATCTCGTTCAGATAATTATAAAAGTTCCTCCTCCTATAGGAGAAATTTTTAAGAAGAATGTTATTGTTCTTCTTCTTTTTGAAAATTAATATCGTCATCTGAAAAGCATAAAATTGGTATTGGTTATGGTTTTTCAATACAAGGTGGACCATAAATATATGTTCTTCCAAAAATAATTTCTTCTAAATCGAATTCTTTATAAGGTGAATTAATTGTTTTATTGCAGATACTACCCATTAGTTTTTTAATAAATAACAAGAATTTAATTAACAAATTGTCAAATAAATTTTCTACCTTAGAAATTTAATAAACAATTAAACTTTTTCAGCTTTACCAGCTCTAAAAAAGCCACTAAATGAGATTAAATATTTGGGTTTGAATTAAAAATAAAAGAAATTCAATAGATTAAATTAGAAGTCAAATATTAGAATTACATAATTTTAAGTTAAATGACACAATAAATAAATTATTATTTATTTTAAATAGTTTATTAAATCAAGACAAGATTAAAATAATAAAAATATTTGAATATATATTATCAAGTAAGGGATTGGGAGAAAGATCTTGAAAGTTTCATCAATATAAAATAAGCTTCAAATTATAAAAATATAGGTTTAAAATAAAATTTTTGAATTGAGAGGATAAAATAAAATCACAAAGAAAAAGTCATATTATTTTTGATATTTATTTTAATTTAAAAATTTTTGATAAATTATATAAATAATTATTTTCTAAATTTTATTGAGAAACTTAAAAAATCTTATATTTTGAATTTGATTAAATTAGAATAGAGAGACTTTAAATCTTTTGGAATAATGATCCAATATATTATAACATAGTAAACAACAGTATGTTTAGTTAATTTAATTTAATTTAATTTTCTTCCCCATAAATACAAATTATATTTTATGCAATAGTTTCCAAACTAAATTGAATTTTAAGAAGACTTTGATTTTAAGAACTCATAATTGTTAGGATAAGGAACATTTGGAAAAGTATATAGGGCAAAGGCATTAAAATCTCTTCCTCCAGGTACTTATGCATTAAAAATAATTGAAACATCTAAGTATAAAAATATTATATTTGAAGCGAATAGGCTTATGAGCTTGCAATATAAGAATTGAACTTATATTAAGTGATTACATATCATTAGAATGTAATAAAGGTTCATAAAGTTTACTCTTGGATAGAATAAATGCCAGCAAAAAAATATATTTTAGTATTTGCTATGGAATTAGCTCATAATAGCTTAAAAGCAGATATAGAAGAAAGAAAAAAAGCATAATAAGAATTTGGGGGTAAAAATAAATATGTAATATCTATTAGATATAATGCTGATAGACATAATGAATTAATGTTTGAAAGCATTTTATTATCTAGCTAAAAATAAACATTTGTTTCATAGAGATATAAAACCAGAAAATATATTAGTAACCTGCAGATAACCATACACTGTAAAATTAGCTGATTTTGGAGCAGGAAAGGAGAACTTCAATGGTTAAGCAATGCTTAATACATTAGTAGGAACACCATTATTTCTGTCTCCTAAACTATATATTGCTTATACAACTAATTAGCCTGGAAAAGTTAAGTAAATTATTAATATCAATTTAGACATGATTTAGAAAAGAGTGATGTATTTTCATTAGGAATTACATTTCTTCAAATGATTCTTCTTTTAAGTGACAAAGATCTTTCAAAATTGAATGATCCAATCATTTATGAAGAAAAAACTGGAAATGCTATTGATAGTAGCGATGATCCTATGAAAAAAAAGGATTGTTAAGGATGGAAAAAATTATAATAACAAATTAGTAGAATACAAAATCCTTAAATAAAAGCTTGTATCTAAGGAATGACAGAGTTTAGTGAAAGAAATAGATTTACATGGCTTTAAGCTTTAAAAGCTTTGAATACAGATTATGAGGATGAGTATTAAATTTAATTATTTTAGTGATAAAGATTAATCTTATAATCCAGCTTAGATAAAAGATGAATAAACAAAGGCTATTAAATTTTATTCAAATTAAAATACTACTTTAAGATATTTAGGAACTGTTAATGATTTATCAAATCACAAAAAGATTATATCAGCAGGAAGTTAAATATTAGCCTATTCGAATGAAGGAGTTAGACTAATATCTTTAAATGGAGTTTCAGAATGCATATTTTCTTAAAGTAGTTAATTGTAGTAATGAAGGTGTCTCTTTTTTATCATATTTACAGTCATTAAATATTTGTGTTGGCATCACATAATCTGGAGAGATTTTTGGAGTCAATTTGAAGACCAAAACTTTTTATTGTGAAAAGATCCTTCATTTTTAATATGATAAAATAACTGTGAATTTATTAAATATTGTTTTAGGTGATGAAATATATGCGAAAAGATTTATGTATCCTTGGGGCATAAAATGGAGAAATTATGATCTTAGCATTTGATACTTAGCCACCTTCTGTTATTAAAAAGTATAAAGATGTGGATAGAGCAGTAATTGATTTAATTTATGATGATGAAAACAAACAAATTATTTCTTCTCATGAAAATCAAATGATATATGGAAAATATTTGGTTTATGAATAATCGTAATTATCTTATTTAATTTTAGTGCAAAATTTCAATTTGATTCTTAGGTAGATAACTTATAATTAATTTCTTCAGAACATTTTGCAGGAATAAGTAAAAATCTTCCTTAAATACCAATTTTTCACATTAAAGATGGTATTTTTTATTTCTATTCTTAGGCAACATTAGTATCATTAAAAAATGTTAAATTAATGGAAATAATATACCTTTAGCAATCACTTTATCAGATAATTATTTGGTTTGGGTTTGTGAAAAGTACATTGGATCAATTTAAATCTCCAATTAGTTGAATTAATTGAAAGAAGATTAAGGAAATGAATTAATGGTCAATGCTTCTAAACCAGCAAAACTAATTTGTTTTTTGCAAATTGAGAAAATGATTCTAGCAAGTGATGGATTAAAACTACATAAATACTAAATTGGAAAAAAATCATAAGATAAAAATGTCTGTGAAAATTGCAGAATTTTTTGAACATATTTATCTTTTGGAATTTAATTGTATAGCAATTATTGCATTCACTATTAATAATAAATATTTTATGAATTTCATAAATTTTTTTTATAAATAAAATAAATTAAATGTATAGAAGTTTAGGATTACTTATCAGATCAACATCGATTGTATAGAAGTGTTTAAAATTAGTATAATTAAATGTGGATAAGAGGTCCAAAAAAAGCAAAAGTGGAGGCAGTAGCTACTTCAGATGATTTAATAAATATTTGGAAAGAAAGAAAAGACCCCGAAATAAAAGAGATTGATTAATATCCATTATGGTTATTAGAATTGGCAATACCTTTAGATAGCATAGATATAACATCTATTTAAATAGCAGCAAATGATAAAGCTTATGTTAGCAATAATTGTTATTTAGCACCCTCCAGCAAGTCATGTGAGGAGTATTGTTAGAAGTTTAAAAAGACAAAGAATAATTTTAATGAATAAATATACAGCTTTGAATAGAGATGGTGATATAATTGGTGATGATGATCTTAATGATTAAGAAGATCAATTAGAACATATTTAATAAGAAAAATTAGCAGAGGAAGCTGCAGCTGAAGAAGCGGCAAGACTCAAAGAATTAGAAGAAGATGATGAAGATACACCTAAAGGTATAAAAAATTATAATTTATAAAATAGCAAGAAAACCAGTTATTAGAAAAGAAGAAGATGATGATGATAAACCAGCAAGTGGAAAGGCTGGTGATAAAGATAAAGCAGCAGCAGGTGCAAAAGGAGGTGCTGCAGCTACTGGAACAGCAGGTAAAGCTGATGCTAAAGCAGGTAAAAAAAAATGAGGTGTAAATTTATGTAGGATTTATTTATGATTATAAACCAATTTTTCTCATTTTCTTTTATACATTATTTTTAATTCTAGTAATCTAGTATTAATATCTCTAATTTTTCTGATAAAAAATTTTTAATTAGAATTTCTTATAATTAAAGATCATTATATAAACAATTGAATTAATTTTCATTATTTCTTATCTTTCTTCTATTTCATTTGAAAGAAGAAGACCATCAAATAATAAAATATTTTATTAGTTAATTTTTTAAATATTTAGATATTTTAGATGATCACTAATTCATAATATAAAAATAATCTGAATTTTAATGGTATTCTTCAATTATTTATGTAGGAACATAAAAATTATTGAAAAAAAAAGCTCAAAAATAGAAATCAATAAATCAATAGATTTCAGAATTTTTAAAATTTTGATGAATATGTTTGATTCTTTTTCTTGAATCTTTTTTAACAGGCATTTCACAATTTTTACATTCATCACATTTACATAATTCAGAACATTTTACTCCCATTTGATAACATTCACAATATTTTTTTAAGCAATTAGATTTTTTACAATTACATCCTTTAAAATGTCTTGGTTTATGATCTTATTCATCTTCTGAGTTACTCTATTAAATATAAAATATAATTACTTTAGATTCAACTTTTGGACGGAAAGCTGATGGATTCCTTTCCATAATTTATTTGATAACAGTTTCTCTTTCTTTTGTATGATCATCATTATTGTGACATGAACAACAATTACAATCTTTACCACATGTTACACCTGCAGCAAAACAATCACAATATAATTTGAGACATTTAGATTTCTTACAATTACATACTATAATTTTTGGTTTTTACTCTGTTTAAGGTTTTCTTCTTTTAGAACTTGTACGTTTTCTATTGTTTATTTAATCACTAGTAAATTTAAGTGGTTTTTTCAAAGTAACAAAATTTATGAATTTCAATTTTGTTGCTCTTTCTAATTTCCTATGAGGTGATTTTGGAGGACTTTTAAATTGAGAATTATTATCTTAATCTTCTGATAATATCTCTTCCTCTTCACATTATAGATCATCTATTATTTTCATAGAACTGAGAGGTGAACTTATATTAACAAGTCTTTATTCTGTCTTAGTATGGTCAAAGTTGATTTATCTGGCAGGAGATATAACAAATATATTTGCTTTTTTAGTTGTCTAATGATTTAATGGAGAAAAAGGTTGAAATCTAAAATTTTTTTTAATGGAAAGTGAATACTGATTCGGAGACTTTAGACATGGAGTAAATTCTAATTTCTTACAAACTTATTCAGGGGACTAGTCTTTTATATACATGTCATCTTAGTTTTAGACACAATCAGCATTAAAAACTGGAGATTGATGAATTTTTTCTAATCTTTAAAACAATTTAGTAAAAGGAGTTCCATCTTATTTATAATCTGAGCTCATTTGTATTAACAATTTTTCCCTCTGAATTTAAATTCAAATTTTTATATATAAAATGATAAAATTTATATCCAATATTTAGAGAAAGATACTTGGCAGAGAGTCTCTAAAATAATTATATAATGATGAATTTCTTTAAGTTCTAAGTAGTAGTAATTTTAAATAATCAATTTTTTTGATAAACAAGCAAGAGAGAAGTATAAATATTTCTAAAAGTGAAATGATTTTATAAGAGTATTAATTTAAGTCATATTGTTATAAATAAAATAAATTTAAGAAACACATAAATAAAATTTAATTAATTTATTTATTATTCTCAAAGGTACATATAAAAATAGGGTATTGTAATGGATAAATTATATATTGAGTATGATAAAGTTAATAAAATTAATGAGTGATATTTTGATTTAGATTAATTGATGTATATAAATGGAATTTTTTATTTAGTTATGAAATAAATTTATTTTAAAAATTTAAATAACGGAAGATATGGGTCATTTATTTAGACATTAAGAAGGAAGTGCTGGTAAAATCAATCATTTAATATACAGCAGCTCCTGTTGTAGCTGTAATTCCAACTCCTTAAGCATCAACAATAGAT